CGGACTTGCTGCAGGCCCTGGCCAGGCAGCTGGAGGACCCTGATGGGCGGGACCACGCGCGCCTCTACTACATCCTCCTGGCCCACCTGGAAGAGCCCAAGCTGGGGGTGGCCTTGGGCCCCTCCCTTGCCGCACCTGCACTGGCCTCTTCACTGGTGGCCGAGAACCAGGGCTTTGCTGCAGCGCTGATGGTGCAGGAGGCCCCGGCCCCGATTCGGCTAAGCATGGGTCCCCACAGAGCCAAGGGCCCAGTCCCAGTGCTGCAGCTCCAGGTGGAGGTGCTGGAGCAGGTGTATTCTCTGGAACTGCGCTTCCGTGTGGAAAGACAGCTCTATGCACCCTTGGGGGCTGTGCACGTGCCGTGCCTGTGCCCCGGCCGCCCCACCCGCCCTCTGCTGCTGCCTCTGCAGCCCCGACGCCCGGCTCCCGCGAGGCTGGCTGTGCGCGCCCTGTACACCACACCCAGCGGCCTCACCTGCCATGCTCACCTGCCACCCCTGCTTGTGAACTTCGCTGACCTCTTTCTGCCTTTCCCCCAGCCCCCCGAGGGGGCCGAGCTGGGCTTCTTCGAGGAGCTCTGGGACTCCTGCCTGCCAAAGGGCACCGAGAGTCGCTTGTGGTGCCCTGTAGGGCCACATGGGCTGGAGGCCTTGGTGTCCCGCCACCTGGAGCCCTTTGTGGTGGTGGCCCAACCCCCGACCAGCTACCTTATAGCCATCCGTCTGCCCCCAGACTCGCGGTTGCTGCTGCGGCTGGAAGCAGCCCAGGCAGACGGAGTGCCTGTGGCCCTGCGGACTGATGACTGGGCCGTGCTGCCTCTGGTGGGGGACTACCTCCGGGGGCTGTCAGCGGCTGGCTGAGCCCCAGGGCTGGCACAGGTAGGAGCAGGACTGCGGCCTTTGCAGGCTCTTGCCCAAGAAGGGCTGCTGAGAGCCAGGATACAGCCCCGTAGCTCCTTTCTGTAAAAACAAAACAAAACAAAGCCCCCTATATTTGCTAACAATCCTCACTGGTTTGTTTTCTTTGGGGCCCTGGTTGGGGGAAGGCACAGTGGGATGGGGGTCAGAGGCTCCAGGAAAGCTTCCAAGCTAGGAACCCGCAGACTGCAGGGCATAAAAGTTCCTTCCTGCCCGGATATACTAGGATTCTCTAGAATCCCTGCCCAAGAGGCAGGAGAAAAAATATCCACATCTTTGCTTCCCAGAGAGGGAAAAGCCTTGCTCAAAGCCACCCAGCAATTTAGGAATGAGAGTGAAGCTGGACTTGGGCCTCCTGACCTGTGAGCCAGTGCTTTTCAACTCCAGAGGTTTGCAGGGTCTCTGCACAGGGAGCTCAGGCTAGATAGGACGAGGGACCAATGGGCAGAAACAGAGGAGGCTGCAGTGGCCTGGTGGCCCCTTCCTCTAGAGCCCGTGAGCCACAACTACCGAGCCCACGTGCCACAACTGCTGAAGCCTGCGTTCTGCAACAAGAGAAGCCACCGCGATGAGAAACCCACACACCACAATGAAGAGTAGCCCCCGCTCATCGCAACTAGAGAAAGCCCGCGCAGCAACAAAGACCCAACGCAGCCAATAAATAAAGAACATTACTCATTAAAAAAAAAAGATTATAGAATATTGTATCCAATAAGAGAAGAATACGTGTTCTCAAGTGCACATGGAACATCCACTGCGACAGACCACATTTTGGGCCATAAAACACACCTTAACAAATTTAAAAGAACAGGAGTCTGCTTTTGGACCACAATGGAATTAAAGTAGAAATCATGACAGAATGACAGCTGGAAAATTCCCAAATATTTGGAGATTAAGCAACATACTTCTGTATAACACACAGGTCAAAGAAGCCCCATGAGAAATTTTAAAATATCCTGAACTAAATGCAAATGAAAATACAACTTGTCAAAATCTGTGTGATTCAGTGAAAGCAATACTTGGAGTGAGGTTTGTGGCATTAAATGAATATATTAGAAAAGAAGAAAGATATAAAAATCAATAATCTAACCTTTTACTTTAGGTTACTAGAGAAAGAAGAGTAATGTGAGCCTACAGCAAGTAGAGGAAGATAAGTAAAAATTAAAGCAGAAATCAGTGAAATCGAAAGGAGGAATTCAGAGAAAATCGACAAAACCAAAAGCTGGTTCTATGAAAATATCAGTAAAATTGATAAGCCTCTAGCTAGGCTAACTAAGAAAAAAAGAGCACAAATTATTAATACCAGAAATAAAAGAGGGGTCATCACTACTGAGCCCATGGACATTAAAGGGATAATAAATATTATGAACAATTCTATGCCCACAATCTGATAAATGAAATGGACCAATTCCTTGAACGACACAAAGTAACAAAACTTACACAAAGGAAAATAGATAATCTGAATAGAGCTATATCTCGAGAAAGTGAATCAATAATTAATAGTTATAATGGTTAATACTGTATATTGTTAACATAATAGGTATGTGAGGTGACACATATATCAAATCATCATGATGTACACTTTAAATATCTTAACAATTTTATTTGTCAGTTATACCTCAGTAAAGCTGAAAAAAAAATTTCTTAAAATGAACAACAAAAATTAGTGAAAATCTCCTAAAAAAAAAAAAAAAAGCAACAGGCCGAGATGGTTCCCTGGTGAATTCTTCTTGTGAAAAAACATTTCAGAAAGAATAACAATTCCTTACAATCTCTTCCAGAAAATAGAAGCAGAGGGAACACTTCCTAATTCATTCTATGAGACCAGCATTATCCTAATACCAACACCAGATAAAGACATCACGAGAAAGGAAACTACAGATCAATATCACTCATGAACATAGGTGCAAAAATCCTCCACAAAAAAATATTAGGAAATTGAATCCAATATACATAAATGTATGCTAACACTTTAAAAGAGTAAACAATGGAAAGATGAACTAAAATATTTAAAAGATCACATAGGGCAGGAGAGAACTGTTTGCAAGGAACAGGAATAGACACTAGGTTTCTCTAAATAGATCTTACTTTGTAGTTTGATTTTGGAAACGTAAATAATCACATAAAGTAAAAGTAAATCTTTTAGGGCTTCCCTGGTGGCGCAGTGGTTGAGAGTCTGCCTGCCAGTTCAGGGGACACGGGTTCAAGCCCTGGTCTGGGAGGATCCCACATGCCGCGGAGCAACTGGGCCCGTGAGCCACAATTACTGAGCCTGCGCGTCTGGAGCCTGTGCTCCGCAACAAGAGAGGCCGCGACAGTGAGAGGCACGCGCACCGCGATGAAGAGTGGCCCCCGCTCATCGCGACTATAGAAAGCCCTCGCACAGAAACGAAGACCCAGTACAGCCATAAATAAGAATCAATAGCTTTCCTGAAAACTATGGCCTACAGGCCAAATCCAGTCCACTTTTTTTTTTTTTCAGCCCACTGTGTTTTTGCAAATAAAGTTATATTGGAACACAGCCATGCTTATTTATTTACATATTGTCTATGTTTTTTTGTTTTTTTTTTTTTGCAGTATGCGGGCCTCTCACTGTTGTGGCCTCTCCCGCTGCGGAGCACAGGCTCCGGACACACAGGCTCGGCGGCCATGGCTCACGGGCCCAGCCACTCCGCGGCATGTGGGATCTTCCCGGACCGGGGCACGAACCCGTGTCCCCTGGCATCGGCAGGCAGACTCTAAACCACTGTGCCACCAGGGAAGCCCTCTATGGCTACAATGACAAAGCTGAGTACTTGTGTCAGAGAACAAATGTGAGGTTCACCAACCTCTGCTATAGATAAATAATAATCAGAATGTAAAAGGAAAAACAGAAAAAAAGGACCTTGTTTGTAATAGAAACAATATAAGCTATCTAGGAATAAACTTTAAAATATGTATAAAAGAAGAAAACCTCACAACCGTACGGATAAGACATAAAAGGAGACATAAATAAATGGTATTATGTATCTTATGCTTGGTAGAAAATGAAAGCAAAATTCTATTCAATCTGTCAATACCCTCCAGCCAAAGACCACCAGGCACACATCTGTAGTTATTAGTTTTGCAGTGTGGGGTATCTCAGTAAGAAGGGATTAGGAAGGATTTCTAGGATTTGGGCTTGTGTTGGGGATATGAGGGAGGGTTTAAAGAAGTAGGACTTTTCTCTGGATTGGATGCTGTCAGCAAGTGGGAGTATTTCTATGATGGGATATGTTAACAGATCTTAACTATACGGAGGCTAAAACTGCAATTGGTAAAGTAGCAACAGAAACATATTATCCAAGATAGAGGGAGTTTCATTATTTTTGTGTGTTGGACAATATTTGTGTCTTTGTCAGTGTTCACATGATTACAGAATGATCTTGTTTTTGTTTTGATCCTTCACATCACAGAGTGACCTTGTCTGATGTCTATGTTCTGTGAAATTGTTCATGTTCAACAGAACACCAAGGCCAGCTCCTGGATGTCCGAGGATGCTTTTCTCTTTCTCAAATCTATAAATTAAATGCAATTTTAATGTTAATTACCAGTTATGTATGGGTTCGTTTTATGAGAGTACTTGCCAAAATCTATTTAAGTTGGGTATCAGGACAAATAAACATTAAAGAAGAGTTAAGAAATCAAAAGGGAAAGAGTACTGCGAAAGCTAGACATGAAACGAAAAGGCTTATATATTTAACAACAAAAAACAAAAGTCTTCTCTGTAATAAAAATGACCAATACAGAAGTTTGTAAGACAAACTCGGGTAAAGTATCTTCAACACATTTGAGGAAGGGTTGATATCCCTAGTTAAACACACACACAAACAAGACAAAACAAAACACTCTCTACCAGTCAATATATAAAAAGTGAACTCTTAGGGATCGTGTTGATGTTTTACAATAAAAATATACTATTGGAAAAAAATTTTCAAGAAAAAAATCTGGGGCTCGAACACAGGCGGTATTGCAGAGGAGCGTCAGAGAAGCCTACGCTTCCCAGGAGGCTCTGCGCTGACTGCCCCAGGCCTCCCGACAGGCTCCGCGCGCTTTACGCGCCAGCTTTGGCCTTAGCCTGCGAGCAACGGCGTCGCGACGGACAATGGAAAGCAGCGACGGGGAAGCCGTCGACAAGCGCCGCGTCCACCTGCGCCCTGTTACGCTGCGCGATCCCGCCCCCATCTTGCTGCACCTTCTGCCCTGCGAGGTTCTGGTTAACCGGCCCGCCCCCGTGGGGCTCTTCTTCACCCCGGCCATCCGCCAGGGTCCCGACGGTGAGCGCTCTCGGCTGGACTACGACTCCCGGCAGCCCCCGCGCCGGCGCCGCGCTCTCCTCCGCGAGGAGCGGCGCGAGGGCTCCCGGGGATCGTGGTCCGCCGAAGGTGGCGGGAGGGCGGCTACCGGCCTTGCTCCGGTAGGCCTGGATCAGACCCTCACTGGGGCCCTTCGCCTGCCTCCTCCAGGACTGGAAGTGTCGTTCCGGGGCCGCAGTCTACGCGGCGAGGAGGTGGTGGTGCCGCCCGGCCTCGTGGGATATGTGATGACAGAAGAGAAGGGAGAGGTGTTGCTGGGGAAGCAGGACTTCTCGGAGGGTTTGGAGGATGACGAGCAAGAGGAGCGGGAACTGGTGGAGCCCCCGGAGGCGCTGGAGCGCGACTTCGTGAGCACGGGGGTATAGGGTTGCAAGGGAGCGCGGGTGGGAGCGGCGGCCTCGATGCTGAGCCGGGGCCCCTTCCCCAGGACCGCTTTATTGGAGCCACAGCCAGTTTCAGCAGCTTCACCCTGTGGGGCCTGGAGACTATCCCCGGTCCCGATGCCAAAGTGCGTGGGGCCCTGACCTGGCCCAGCCTCGCTGCAGCGGTGAGTACATGGATGGGCCCCCTCCCTCCCAGACCCCATCCAACCCCCCACCCCCCCACCCCTTCAAGGTGGTTTCCTAAGTGTTCCAGAATCTTGTCCCTGAGTGAATCTGGGGGCTTCGGGGCTGGGGAGAACAATGGGGCAGATGGAACCTGGGTCTGACTGGAGGATTAGACTGGGTAGGGGCAGCATGGCTTACCCACCACTCTTCTCTGGCCTTCTAGAAGGGCTATGATTTTGAGCAGCTGGGTCTCTCCCCTGAGGATCTGGGCCACCCAGTCACTATACTGCAGAAATCCAATAGTAGAGGTGATTCCTGTTGCAGATTCACACACAGGTACCCGAGGACTGAGAACCAGAGCTTGAAACTGAAAGCCACCGATCCCTTCACCCCAGTAAACCCTTCTTCACTTTGGAGCCTGATTCCATCACCCCAATAAAGGAGCTCTTCACAGAACACCTGTAAGTTCGCCAGCACCTTGGATCCAGCACTGCCCATTTTCCCACAAGGACCTTTCACAGCTCTGACCTATAGAAACAGTTTATTGCCGGGGGCAGTGGGGCAAGAGAGGCCAGAATTCTGCAGCCAGTTCCCACCCCACCCCACCCCAGCTCCTACTTTACAAAAGAAATTTGTACAGCCACCAGTCCTCTATACAAGCCACCCGCACCCCCCATCTCACTGTACACAGCTGCCTGGCTCCCTCTGGTCCCTGGTTCACAGCAGGCCTGGGCCTGCGGCCAGCCGACCTTGGAGTTGACCTGAGCCCTGAGCTCGCCCTGGTGCTAGGCGCCAGCAGGCCTTTACCAGGCCTGTCCTCTCCTTGTGGAGTTGTCCTCTGCCCTCTCTCCCTTGGCGCGCCTCTTGGAGACCCCAGTGGGGGAGGGATGGGCCGTCAGCCCCAGTTCTGCTGGCTTTGCTGGCACTGCCACGGGCAGTGCCTGGTCACCATTTTCCCCTCTTGCTCCAGTCCTTGGGAGTGAAGTGCAGACACTTGGAGTCGATCCGAAGAAGCCGCTTGAGCATAGCCCGTTCGTGCCCATCCACGATGTCCTCCGACAGTGTGAGGATATACTGGCCCTGGACAGGAGACGGGGCCAGGCAGGTCAGCCCACGTGGGGCCTGCTCTCTGCACCCCTACACACACCTGTCTCCCCCTGCCTGCCTCCCTACCTTGTAGTAGTTGATGAGGTTGAGGTACTGTAGAGTGGAGATGACATCCTCCTTCTTGATGCTGGTAATTTCACTGATCTCACTGTGGGAGGGCAAAGATCAGGTCCCCTGGGGGCCTACATCTCCACCCCAGGCCCCCAGTAGCCCGAAGAGTGAGAAAGCCCAGGAACAGACAGGTCATGCCATGCACCCCCGGGCAGGCAGAGCCAGGCTCACTTGATGGTGATCTGCGGCCTCTCCCCGCTCTCTGACTTCAGCCCCATCAAGATCTCCAGAATGGTCTGGGACCAGTAGCTTCGGTAGGATAGGAGGCCAAGATCCGAGAGGGGCTTCTCAGGGGTCCCCGTTTTCCCTTCCACTTTGGAGAGTTCATAGCCTAAAGCAATGGAGCAGGAGGGGGTGGGTAAGCAATCACAGCGTTATGCGACCATCGTTTAGGAATGCAGGTTGCAGAGGTAGACTGCATGGCTTCCATCCTGGGCCTGCCATGTGGTAGTTCTGTGCCTCAGTTTCCTTGTAAAGGACTAGTGAGCGTACTGTTCACCTGTGTGCTGAGGGCACTGAGAGAAGTAGCTACAATCAACTAGAAGCCAGTGAGGGCTTACAGGTGGGATGCGGGGAGTGCAGAGAAAATGGTTTGTGGAAAGTAAGTGCCTCCAACTTGCCTCAGTCATACCAGACTCTCTGCGCCTGGATATGTGAGGAGAGAAGAGGGGAAGACCCCACCTCTGGTCCAGGCCTGAGGATGCTTGCGTTCTCAGTCAAATCAGTTCCTCGGCTGTGACCTGAGACGCATTAGCGGCTCTAAGACCAGGCTGGCCTGACCGGATGGCTGGGAGGAAGCAAGAAGGGCGCCAAAGCACTTCCCAAGTCAGAGGGAGGCCACTCCTCAGCAGTAGCTACCTCTCCAGTGGCTCTCTCCCTCCCATTCTGACTGCTGTGCCCTCCTCTACCCTGCTGACCACTGGGCAGTGGCAGGCAGTTCCTGGTGAGACCCTCAGGCCATGCAAAACCCTGAGCGGTTTCACATCTCTTGGACAGTATTCATTTCCCCATCAGGGCCCTGAGATGTCTCCACTACTTCTAGAAGCCCTTCTTTATCCTCAGTCATAACGAGCCTTGTGTTGGATCGTAGCCCTTTCTCCTTTCCCCCTTGATTCATCTTTATCAGCCAGTCTGACCCTCTTGCCCAACTTCCTGTGACTTTCACCAAGCAGCCCGGTGGGGAGGACAGAGAGACTTGTGCTTTGGAGGAAGGAAGCATGGAAGAGGGAAGGGGCACACTTGAGTTCTTACTCAACTCTGGGGGGAGTGCATGCAGAGTCCTGACAGATCAACTGGAGGCCACACTTGCCTCCTCAGCTGCAGGAGCTCCCAGCCCCTCCCAGTCAACAACCGGCCCACCCTCTGGAGCTGCCTGGAATGGTGCTTCTAGTGCCCTGTCTGCTCCTGCCGGGCACAACTGAGCACATTTCCTTGGTGGCCCCACACACATCCCATCTCCACTGAGGGCTGAGCTCCAAGGCTAGACTGACTTTCAGCAACCTTCTGCTCTTCAGGCAGGTTTCCCGAGGATGTGACCACATCTTGGCATCTTTCTATACCAATAAAATTTCTCAGAACATGTCAGTGATCAAGTCAAGCCTCCAAGTCTTCACCAGACAGCTAAGCCTCCCTCATCTCCCGGGTCAGAGCTTGGTTATCCCAAGGGTGCGGTGAGTGGTGGGTTGAATGGAATGACGGTAAGAGGCTGGGAAGCAAGAGGGGGCCTTGGGGGCTAATGAAGAGTTCATGTCTGATGAGGGGCAGAGGCCAGATCCCTGTGAGTCACGTTTGACGTGACATCTGCTGTCCCCAAGGCTCAGAGAACAAGTAGGGAAATAAACCACAGGTCCTTGCCCAGGAACGTGTATAACCGCACAGGACCAGACAGCTGAGCAGGAGTGGCTCACTCGGCTTCTGCCCGTGCCCTGGGCAGGAGCAGACAAGTCAGATTTGGGAAAAGTTGAGTGGTACTTAGAACCCTGGCCGAGGATCTTTGAGGGGCTGAAAACCTAGTCCAGATGAACAGGGCAGTCACCCCAGTATGGAGAGAACCTTGGGAGAGTCTCATCTTTATTTCTAGCCAGTTCCCCTGGTGACTGGACTGCACAGCCAGGGCTGAGAACACAGCAACCCGACATGTCTGTGTGCAGCATCTGTGCGTGAGACAGCGATGGGGCCTGGGCCGCCCAGGACCTGCCCCCAGCCCCCGGCCAGCAGCACAGGTACTCACTGAACTCGATCAACAGCTTGCCGTAGCCCCGGCGCTGGTAGGGAGGCAGGGTCAGGATGCAGGCCACGTTGTAGTCTTCTGTGGATTCCTTTTCCTGGAAAAGAGGGGCAGGTGAGTGTGAGGGAAGGGACCTAGCTCAGGGCAGGACTGAGGACAGCCTGGAAGAGCACTCACCTTGGAGAAGTAGCCCACGATGTGGAAGCCCTTGCAGTCATACTCCGTCATGACGTAGAAGAGGAAAGGGTCTGTGTCATAGTACAGCGTCTTGTGGTCGAGGAAACACTTAGCCAGAAGACACAGGTTCTGGGAATAACTCTACAGACGAAAAGGTCTGTCACCACCCTGGGTACCCAGCCTTGAGCATGGCCGTTGGGCCAGGGTCAGCCTGAAGCTTCTTGTCCCCCAGGCTGATAGGTGAGGAGCCTTCCTCCCTGGGGCCTGACCCAGTCCATTGGTCAGTGTGTCCGGCGCACGGGCCATTCTTAGTGTCCAGGAGCCCACGTTTCAGCTGTGTGATGGTGTTCAAGCACCCGCCCCCCGGTGAGCTGGGCAGGTCTACTCGTGCTCTCCATACCCCATCTAACTCTGGCCTGGAAGCCTCCACTGCCCTCTGCCACAGTTACCAGTCAACAAACTGATGTGTCCCCGCAAAGAAAGACTGACCAAGGATTATGAGAAAAGCTCTGCCTGTGTGACAGTCTTAGGAAACTGGTTGTCAAAAAAACAACACTCTGCAACCCCCAGTCACGTCTCTTGAGAACTGATCTGCTCTTCTACAACAGGGGTAAAGAATTCCGGAATTTGACAAAATAACTGCCTCAAGGGCTGCCCCAGCAAAATTATTAATCTTGCTACTTTACTTCTATTCTCACAGTTTTCCTGCATTTCAGATTTGGCTTTTTAAGCACCTGCTGGACACGGCCATTTGGATACCCAAGCCCACACACTTAACACAGTTAACAGTGGTTAAAGCAGCATCTTCCTCTCAAGTCCCCCCAGCACCCAAGCAAGAGCTGTCCCCTGGCAGTCTAGGTGACTGCCTCTCCCTCCCCGCTCTCCAGGCCCCAAGAATGGAGGCATTTCACTTTTAAAGTCCCTCCAGGTTATGCCCTTCTTCCTCCCCACAGCCAGACTAAGGCAGGTTTGAAGCCCCAAACCTGTAGTGTCCCCACTTCCCAGCTGACCTCAATCCCACCACCTGAGCTCTGTCCCATGTAAGACAGCCTTGCCTCATCCTGTCTGCCTTCCAGCCAGAAGAAAGGATCTTCGCCTTTTACACTGTCTCTGCACATTTTTTTGCATTTCACAGATAACGCATTTTTTTTACAAATTGAAGGTTTGTGGCAACCCTGCATTGAGTCTATCACTGCCATTTTTCCAAAAGCATGTGCTCACTTCATATCTGTGTCACATTTTTATAATTCTTGCAATAATATTACAAACTTTTTCCTTATTATATTTGTTATGGTGACCCGTGATTCTCAATGTTACCACTGCAATTGTTTTTTTAGACACAATGCTACTGCACGCTTAACGGACTACGGCACAGCGTACATGTACCTTTGATATGCTCAGGGAAGCCAAAAATATTGTGTGACCGCTTTATTTCGATGTTCACCTGATTGTGGTGGTCTGAAACTGAACCCGCAGTATCTCTGGAGTCAGCATCCGTTCCTGCCCTTCAGAACCCACTGCCTGTGTCACGGCTCAAAGGTTACCTCCTCTGTGAAGCTTTGCTGTCCACCTCTTCTGGATCCTGATAACCCACCCTTTGTGTTTCATGACACGTATCACACTGGGATCTATGCAGCCATTAGCATGTCTGTTTTCCCCTGTGAGCTCTCAGCAGAGATTTTGTCCAATTCACCTTGTACAATATCTCCCACCACCTGCCCTACAGCAGGAATGCAGTAAATGGGGTGAACAGATCTGTTAGCCACAATGGTCAGTGTTTTCCTGAGCTGAAAGAAGCTGCTCACTCGACTCCCTCAGACTCCCGGCGACAAGGACTCCCCACTGCCCCTCAGCCACTGACCTTGTTCTTACGTCCATCGATCTCAAAGAAGGAGATGGTGCCCTTTCGGTAAATCTCGTTGCCTGGAGGATGTCGCAGGTCACACTTGGTCTGAGGAAGAGAGGAGAATTAGGGGCAGGGGTGGGGGGTTGCTAGGAGGATGGCCTCCTGGGACCCCTCATACCAAGTGACGCTGCAGACACTTGAGGCTTCGGCCGTACTTGAGGCAGAACTCGCAGAGGTAGAGGACGGGCAGCGTGGTGAGCTCCTGTGGGTATGGAGAGAAGTACCAGGGCTTGAGGCGGTGCCGGCCCAGCTCGATGCACTCGATGTTCTTCATCCGGGTGACAATGTCGTCGTGGCTCCGGTCAGACACCAGGCTCCCAGTCATGCGAGGAGCTGACGGTATTCCATCTGAGCTGTCCTGCGAGTCCTGCCCAAGGCCGGTGGAAGACACCAGGTTACAGGAGACAATTCAAGCAGGGCACTTTACAGCTCACAGCCTTTCCACAGGTTTCCTTGTTCAAACCTAACAGCAAACCTATTGGGGGAGGTACTAAAATCCCCACTTTCCAGTTAAAGAAACCAAGACTTGGAAAGTTTTCATTTGGAATGTAGAAAAAATCACCCAATGCCTGATCTGAACCAGCTCCGCCTCACTCCCAGTCCCACCAACGCCATCTCTGCTCAGCACCCCTTGTTCATTTTTAAACTAGTCACTAAAGTCTCCGCCCTGCCTATGTCCCCTCCTTTTCACCCAGCTTCCCTCTTCCTCAGACCTACCTCATCAGTGCCCAAGCAATTCGATTTTCGCTTCCGCCCTGGCTGAGCTGCCACTGCCCTACGGGCTGATCCATTCTGCAGATGAGAAAGTAGGAATAGAAAACATAGCTGTGAAATGAGCCCAAAAGGGGCTACCAGAGGTTAGAAGAAGGGGAGGGAAGAAGAGATGGTTTGGGGGATTCACCTGGGGAAAAACTGAGGCTGGGGCTGTCTCGCTGGGCACTGGGGTCGCTGGTGAAACCACCTCCACCTTCCGTTTCTGCAGAAAGAAACCAGGACAGGTGGGTCAGAAGGTAGAGAAGGTGGGACCTGAGAGGAAAGCAAGGTCCCTGGAATTGCTGAGGGTACCGTTGAGCGGTGGTTGGGCTGCAGGCAGGAGCTGGAGGAGAGCGGCTGGTCGGGCTCGCCGCCGGGAATGGCCTCCCGCTCCTTGGGCAGGTTGAAGCGGAGTGTGATCTGGACCGGGATTGGCAAGGTCTTCCCGCTGGCCTGGGCGGAGGCCGGCTGTAGAGATAGGTCCAGGGTCTTCCTCTGGGGCGGGGTTGGTGGTGGGATCAGGAAGGGGAGTAGGGCCGCCTCAGCATGGAGTGATCAAACCCCACCCTCTGCCCTTTCAAGGACACAGGAACAGCCACTGGACTCTGGAAGCTACATCTGCAATTTGGCCCCCATCCTTCACAAGCTGAAGCCAGGGTGGGAGGGCACAGCCTCCAGCCCATCCAGGAGCCACTGAGGCCAAGAGATTTGAAAAGTAGGAGGCAGGAGAGAGGAGGTGAAGCAGGGGACCTACTCACCACCTCTCTCTCTGGAGAGCCGGGGCGGGACCCAGGAAGTCCGTTCTTGGTGGGGGTCTTGGCCTCTTTCTTGGGGAACTGGATCTTCTTTAGGTCCAGCCGCTCGTGGGTCACCCATTCATCCAGGCGTTTGTTGACTGCAGCAGTGGGGATGGCTCAGGAAGGAGTGCCAGAGGCTGCCCCGCAACCCTGCGGCCCCACCTCATCCCGGCCCAGAACTCACAGTCAATGTAATGGACGTAGAAAAGCTTCCGGCCACTGATGTCCTTCACGCTCAGTATCTCAGCCAGGGCTGTGGGAACAGCAGAGGCAAGGGCCTTAGACAGACCAGGCCATGAGGCTCCACCCTCCTACGACCTGAACTCCACAACGAGGCCCGATTCCTAAGCCCCAGCACTTGGAACTGCTCGCTCAAGCCCCCGTTAGTCACCAAGTGCCATCCCCTCTCCAAGCCCTGCCCGGTCCCTCACAAACGGCTAAAAGCCACGCCCCTCCCGAGTATCTGCGCCCCGCCCGCTCCAGGATTCTAGAAGCCCCACCCCCTCCCCTGGGTTCGGTTGACTCTCCCCCGCCCCTCGCCCTCAGGTTCCTTAGCCCCGCCCCCCGACGTCACTCACGCCACTCATCTTCGTTGTCTTGGTTCCGCCGCAGCACGGGCAGGCGGCAGCCCTCGATTATCTCCCCCTGGGGAGACAGCGCGGCGCCAGGGTCGGCTACTGGGGGGCCTCGGGCTCTACCCACCTCCCCTGGCTCCCTCCGCCCCGCCCCGGGCACCGGACTCACCACCTCCGCCATCTTCCCTCCCTCCACTGCCACTTCCGGCCCCTCTGGGAGACGTCACTTCCGGGACTGAACACGTTGTAGGCCCGGGCCTCCCCGAAGCGGCTTTACGAGAGGACACTTGCGAGACATCGCCGCCCAGCTTGCTGACGGAGCCGGCCCGTTTGGCTGCTGGGGGAATGGTGTGTTTTAAATCTCAGGCCAGGTCCTGGGTGGAATCCCCACAACGTGCACAACGATTGGAGGAAAACTGAGTCCGTCACGTGACGCTCACTGGGTGCGACGCCGGTCACGTGGGACTGGTGTTAGTGCTTTGAGGGAGGCCGGGCTGGGGCGTCTCCTACTGACGTAACGATGCGTCGCGGGGAGTGAACTGCGCGTGCTCGGCCGGGAGTTGGGGGGCGGGTCTGGAGAAGTGGCCGGGACTTGAAAGACTCAACGCGTCGCTAAGTTGTGGACTTCATTCCTTAGGGCTGGGAGTCACGGAAGATTTATGGGTTTGTTGTTTTGTATAATAGGTTGCTAATTATAAGAGTAATTACAACATTTTTCATTTATACATTCAACAAGTGCTTAGTTAACCGCCTACCATGTGCCAGGCCCTATTCCAGGAGCCTGGAATACATCAGTGAATAAAATAATCTCCTCCTCCTGGAGCTTGCATTCTTGGAGGTTGGGAAGAAAAAAAGAGGAGTATAGATAACAAACAGTAAATATATTTTAAAAATAAATTATCTAGTCTATTAAAGAGTGATGGGCTTCCCTGATGGCGCAGTGGTTGGGAGTCCGCCTGCCGATGCAGGGGACGCGGGTTCGTGCCCCGGTCCGGGAGGATCCCACATGCCGCGGAGCGGCTGGGCCTGTGAGCCATGGCCGCTGGGCCTGCGCGTCGGAAACTAAAAAAAAAAAAAAAAAAAAACCCTGCAAGGTGAAGGAAATGGGCAGGTAGGCAAACTGTGGCGTGCAGGCCAAATCCAACCCTCTGCTAGTTTTCCTACAGCCAGTGGGCTAAGAATGGTTTTTTATATTTTTTAAAGCTTGGGGAAATATCAAAAGAATATTTTATGACACATGAAAATTATGAAATTCAAATTTCAGGGTCTGTAAACAATGTTTTGTTGGAGCATAGCCACACTCATTCATTGACGTTTTGTCTATGACTCCATCCACATTAAAACTGAATAATTGGAACTTCCCTGGTGGCGCAGTGGTTAAGAAGCCGCCTGTCAACGCAGGGGACATGGGTTCCAGCCCTGGTCCGGGAGGGTCCCACGTGCCTCGGAACAACTAAGCCCGTGCGCCACAACTACTGAGCCTGCACTCTAGAGCCCACGCACCTAGAGCCCGTGATCTGCAACAAAAGAAGCCACCGCAATGAGAAGGCTGTGCGTAGCCCCCACTTGCCGCAACTAGAGAAAGCCTGCGTGCAGCAACGAAGACCATAAATAACCATATGGTCCATAATAACCATATGGAACCATAAAAAAACAAACAAATAACTAAAATGGATAACTGGGACTCCCCTGGTGGTCCAGTGGTAAAGAATCTGCCTCACAATGCAGGGGATGCGGGTTCGATTGCTGGTCAGGGAACAAAGATCCCACGTGCTGTGGGGAAACTAAGCCCTCATGCCACAACTACTGAGTTTGCGTGCCTCAACTAGAGCCTGCGAGCTGCAAACAACAGAGTCCATGTGCTCTGGAACCTGCGCACGACAACTAGAGAAGAGAAAAAAAACCTGCATGCCACAACTAGAGAGAAGCCTGTGCACCGCAAGGAAAGATCCCGCATGCCGCAATGCGGCCAAATAAATAAATAAATATTTTTAAAAAAGAAGAAGGAAGGAACATGGACTTCTGTTTTCCAAATGTATGTGCTATGTTTGTGCTTAAAAGATCCAGATCCATCAAAATGCTGGCTGAATTCAAGGTGGGAGTAAACAAGCATTTCCTCTAAACTGCACTAATGATGTGTCCATGACCTTGCGGGCTGAAGATGTTTCTTCTGGGTAAGAGCTCTCGGGCTGGTGTGTTTTTCAGCGCAGGGTTGTCATTGCAGGTGGGCTGTGACCAGGCCCATGACCTTTGTGGAACATTCCCTGTCACAGTGTCGTGGAAGCAATAACTGGTTCCCAGGAAAGACCCCGAGCCAGGAAAGGGGCCGGAAGCTGAGCCCCGCTGGGCTCAACAGCTCACTCATTTGGGAAAACGGACTTGTGCTCTCCTTTATATCTCAGGGGATCTAAAGGAAAACAAGTACCCAAGACAAAAGTCAAATATTCAGAATGACACCTTTTCGGCCCAGTGAAGGCTTAAAAAAAAAACAATTCAAGAACACAATTCATTTTCATCATCTCTGGTTTTCAGAGAGGGCTTTTTAAAAAGTGTATTTGCTGTACCCATTAAAATCATTTTCTACAAACGGTTACCATGAGCGGCACTTTCTGGGGTGGGACAGGTGAATGCTGTTGTGGGGATGTGGGGGGAACAAGGGTAGCAGGGGCCTGTCATAGAAGGGGGTTGTGGCTGTGGGAGAGAAGGTTCCATAGCGTAAGGCT